GTGTAAATATTAGCAGAGTCTGAAGGAGGCGGGTGAGGAAACTTTATAATATTAACCTTTTTTCTTTCTCGAAATAATCATTTTAGTGATATATATAACTCAGATTTTCCATCTTCCATTGTGCTCATTTATGAACAAAGGTAACACTCCCATCTGGTGGCATCTTAACACCACGTGGACTGCAGCTTCTAGGTTTGGCAGGTTTAGGGTCTAGTACTGGTTTTGAACGTTTACACTACTTGTAAGTAATTGCCTCCAAAATCTTCATCTCTGTGATATATTTTGATGTGCTCTTCGCATCGGTTAATTATTTGTTTTTACTGTTTTCCATAGGTTTGAGAGAGTCTGGGACCCTATATTAGTTCCCGGAGCACCAAAGAGAATTAGCTACTCCTTTCTGAATGCAGTAAGTATTGGGAAAAAAAAATCTGAAAAAAGTTGTACTCGTATGTAAGCTCATGGTGACAAAATGATTTCTGAAATATTTTAGTCAGTTGGCAGCAATTTTGTAACATATTTGTACTTCATGCAGTACGAGAGGTGGTTGGATTTCGACACTAATCCTCTGTTTGCTATCATGCACGAGACAATATACTGTCAGGTAATTTTTTTGTCTGTTTAAAGTCACATGCTTGTTATGTTTTTCCAAACGTAAAGTATATTCTTACATTAAGTGTGCTCATTCGCATTCTTCATGCTCATCTGTTATTTTTCTCGTTTCGTTATCTGATATGATTGTAAGTGGATTTAAGGGTGCTTCTTCAAGTTGGTCTGCTCACCGAATAAAGGCTGAAACCGACAGTCAGTTTGATGCAGTAAAGGCCGCCAAAGAAGGACGCCCAGTGCTCTTTACTGGAGAGGTATTAAAGAGAACCAGTTACTTTAACTAAGCACTAGTCGAAAAGTTTAAACATAGTAAAGCCATCCACACACTATAAAGCCTTTTTGTCGATAATTTAAAAAAATAATGGGTTAAAAACAAAAATCTAGCCATTATTCAAGCTGTGACCTGTTATTTAATTTTCGTAACTCGTACCAATTTCCATCAAATCGTTACTTTACATATTTGCTACTATTAATATGCATGCATTTGGCTTCGCAGATGGTATTTCCATGGTTTTTTGATGAAATTCACGCTTTGAGGCCTTTCAAAGAAGCAGCTCATTTATTAGCAGAGAAGAAGGATTGGCCTCCGCTATACGATATTGCCTCGTTAAATAACAACAAGGTATATTCTCAATGGACTAAAACTGCTATTCTTGATGATTTTTATTCTTCTTTTTTCGATAATGAAAGCAAATCTAGCAACTTTTTTTGGTCACTAATAAAATCATAATACAGGTTCCAGTTGCGGCTGCTGTATATTACGAAGACATGTATGTTAACTTAAAGATGGCGATGGAGACAGCTTCGGAAATAGCGGGAATACGAACATGGGTTACGAATGAATACATGCATTCCGGTTTGAGAGACTCCGGTGGTCAGGTTATTGATCGTTTGCTTGGAATGCTTAACGGAAAGAAGCCTCTCTTTTGATTTTTCGACACATTGAAATCAAACCATTGTCTCACTTGTTGGCCTGTTTGGGTGGTATTATGGCAGCTTGAAGGAGAGAAGCATTTATTTTGTAACAAATGAGATAATAAATCTTTAATGATATTTATTTTGAGTAAATAATATTTATTTTTCCAATTTATTTACTTTAGTAAAAAAATAATATTTTTAGTTATTACACTGGTTAATGAGTTATTTAATTTAACAAAACAATACTAAAAATATGTAAAAGAAGAATATAAAATTAGAAATGGGTAAAATAGTCTTTTATAAAAAACACCTTCGCCTGCTTATCACAATTCACCACCACTCTCCTTTAGAGGCAGTGCTCCACACGGACTCGTTGTAATTAGGTTTACACTACGGTGAGAATTTCAATCTCCAGTCAGTCATTCTCGCCGGTTTGGAATAACTCCATTTTCAGTCTTCAGTAATCACTTGCTCTCCTTCTTCTTCGGTCTCGCACCGATTAGGGTTTTTTAGATCCGGCGTTTCAGGTACGTCACCTCAATACCTGTGATTCACTGCTCACTTCTCCGATTCCGAGTTCTCATTGACCTGGTTTTTCTGTTGCAGACTGCGAATATGCTGAGAACGGCGGCGTATTCGAGGTTAGGGCGGTCCTTGCAGAACGGAAAACGAGGTTTTTCTACATCAACGTCGAAGAACGCCGGCGATGAGAAGATTTTAGCCTCCGTTCTCTTTGAGCGGCTCCCGGTTGTAGTTCCGAAGATCGATCCTGTTGTTTACGCTTTCCAAGAGTTCTCGTAAGCAAATTTTCTCCGTTTCTTTTTTCCTTCAATTTATTTTTTGGAGTCGTTCACCTTCATATTCGATTTTAATGTAATTTTGTGTTTCATTTGTTGTCTCTGCTAAACTGTAATTGAGTTTCTATGAGGAATGTTTATGAACTTGTGTTACTTTACACTAAAAAAGAATAGAAGAAATTTGGTAACTGTTTGGTTTGTTAGAGCCGGAAATATTGAATTTGGGGCCGTCATTGTTAGATCAAGTAATCGGTTATACATATCCACTGAAATAAGGAGTGGTAGGATAGGATGAACATAAGATTTTGATATCATCTAAGGATGTAATTATTAGTGGTAATTGATGCCATTGAAATTGTTGAATTAATCGATTGATAGTTTCTGAGGTGGGGTATCGTTTTAGGTTCCGATGGGGACAACAGTATCGGCGGGAATACCCAGAGTCTTTATTGAAGAAAGCTGATGCCAGGTACTTCTAGTTTCATTTGTTTTGTTTTCATATTTCTATCCGATTCTTCAATAATTCTGTAAGTTTGGATTCCGTCTTCATCAATATATGTATGGTAGAAATTATAAGGCTCTCCATGCTTGTGTTATGGTTAAGGATCAACATTTCTTTTCAATAATTTTTCTTAGGTTGATTTAATAACATCTTTAATATCTCATGTGTGTTGCTATATTATATATTAACCTGATAAATGCACATATGGTTAGATGTACTTCTGTTGCCCATGTATAAACCGGAATGCCGTATAATTTGTGTTACCTGTGGATATTCAGGGGGAAAGGAGATTATCAAATTGACTACACACCAGCTCCACGGGTAACAGAAGCAGATAAAACTAACGATAAAAGGTATTGCTGCAGTATTACTTGACTTTCAAGATCCATTGTTGGCTAATTAGAAGGTGATTGCTTTGTAAATCTAGCTGCTTGCCATTAAAATGAGTATGGCCCTTTTGAATTTTGAGGACTGGTCAATCTGTTTTTCTTTGATGTTTTCTTTCGTTGGTTCCTCTTTCGTATTCCTGATAAATCTTGTAGGGCTTTTTGCTAAATATGCCAAAACTTTTGATATATATCAACTCCCCTTCATGCATTGTCGACATGTATTTTGACTCGTAATAATGTTGTTTCTCTGATATGGTCCAGTTTTAGCATGTGTTTTCAGTCATAGTTTGGTCGCACTGTCAATACTAATTGCAGATGTTTTATAGGTCATGTAATCTGCATTTGTGCACGAGTATACTAACAAGTACCGACGTGTTATTCTTGTAGGTCATTGCAGAGAGCACTTGACAAGAGACTCTATCTTCTCATTTATGGCACTGCACACGGTTCTAAAGATGAGAAGCCTGTCTGGCACTTCCCGGAGAAGGTTTATGAGTCCGAACCGACATTGCGCAAGGTAATTACACTTCCAACCTTTCCACTTTGGCTTGTAGACCCCCGACATCTGGAATTTCTAGACTAGACCGTTCGGGTCAAAGACAATGATGCATCAAAATATTTGCAGTGTGCGGAGTCAGCCTTACAATCAGTGATTGGAGATCTTTCCCATACTTATTTTGTTGGAAACGCTCCAATGGGCCATATCATTCTACAGCCTTCAGAGGATAACCAGGTCAATACATCTCTGAAGGTAAACTTCACCCCACTCATCTGTGTTAGTATTTTTCATAATTCTGTAATGTGGTTTACAGTCCTACACATTTATATATACAAAACAATGGCGAAGTAGGTTTCATCCACAATAGTTAAACTCTTAACACTATCCCCAATTCTCTTGTTCAATGTCTTACTATTATTATTTCTTTTGTCAGCGATTCTTCTTCAAGTCTCAAGTTATTGCCACCAACAAGTTTGATATTGGTAGGTGCGAAGATTATGTTTGGGTGACGAAGGATGAATTGTTGGAATATTTTCCCGAGCAAGCTGAATACCTAAACAAGATGATTATCAACTGATATTCTTTGCTCTTCACTTTTTGGAGTTCTTTTACCAATGTTGGACCATGTCTTCAGATTGAAACTGACTAGGTTTTCATGGCCTGGAATATGCAGATTGTTAAAACTGACTAGGTTTCATTAGTCCTCGAGAGTTGTTGCCAGGTTCAAGATTTTGTAGTTTGATGATTGAATGTAATAATTCATGGCGTAGAAAAATGGGAGAAACCCTGTTCTCTCCATTTCTCTGGGCGGTTTTGCGTTTACACTTGTTTTACGAGCAAACGGAAATGATGTATATGGTCAGGTAAGCTACTCAATTTACAGTAAAGTTTTTTCGAGATCGACTCGATTATATATCAAAAGCTAAAACGATACAAACACAAATTTGAAAAAAAACTATATAAGATGAAACCTGATTCTCCGAATGTCCAACTCAACTATCCCTCATCTTTCAATATTATAAATTGGGTAAATTACACTTATACCCCTGATGTATGTTAAAATAGCTTTAAAGTCTCTATAACTCTAACGGAATAATGTGTTTGATAAATTAGTCTGTTACGATTCTAATATACTATTAGTTTCAGGTAATGATGATTTTCGTCTATGGTAGCAATAACAAAATATAGTGAATACCGGCCTCTAGGATTTGAAACATTGGTTCCGATAATTATTTCAGAAGTGTGGTTGTAATTACCAATATCGCATGACCTTAAAATTGTTTAACATAACTTAGGGGTGTAACTGTAATTTACCCTTATAAATTTGAAGATAAAATTGGAGGTATATGTATGTATATAATTGTATATAGTCGGCGTGTTGATTAACACGCATGTACGCCCTCTGCCCCGCACGTGGACACTGATATACAAACACTCATCAACTCCAACCGCGTTTTCCAACCTATATAGATACTTGAAAATCATTTCTTAATTCTCATCACTCTAAATAAAATAAAATAAAAAATGGATTTCATGGACAAGGCGAAGAATTTCGTGACGGATACTGTGGCCAACATAAAGAAGCCAGAGGCATCCATAACGGACGTCGATCTAAAAGACGTCGGCCGTGACGGAATATCCTATCTGGCAGTACTCTCCGTCTTCAATCCCTACGGCGTTTCAATCCCCGTCGGCGAGATTAAATACACCCTCAAAAGCGCCAACAGGTTCTCAATTCAATTCTCCGGCGAGATCTGTCATCTCATCATCTGTGTGTGTGTTTGTTTGTTTATAAACGTAACGGAGCTGATTTTATTATTTTTTTATTTTTGGGGGAATTATATTAGGGTAATCGGATCGGGTACGATTCCGGATCCGGGTTCGTTGAAGGGGAACGAGAAGACGGTGCTGGAAGTGGGGATGAAGGTAGCGCACAGTGTGTTGATGAGTTTGATGAAGGATATCGGTGCAGATTGGGACATTGATTATTGCCTGGAAATAGGTATCGTCGTTGATCTTCCCGTTGTCGGAAATTTCACCATTCCCCTTTCTCATAACGGTGAGATGAAGCTCCCTAATCTTAAAGAAATGCTTTGCTGAAACGATTGCAAAACCTAGTTCAGAAGAAACACTAGTGCTAGCTTTGTGTTGATGAACTGCTTGCTTGGTAAGTACAGTAGTATGTGTTTTTGTACTATAACTTGAGATGTAATAAAATGTAGAGAATTTAGTGGTTTTGACTTGTTGGTATGTTTTGGATAATTGTTTTAAAAATATTTGGAAAAATCATCAATTTCATATTTGATCCCTCGTGTTCCAAAAAATACATTTCGTTCCTTATGTTTCAATAATTTAATATTTTCTGTCATTTTCATTAATTTACGTGATGGGCAGACAAATGGAAAATTGATACAAATGATTAAAAATATTGAATTTTGGAAACACGAGGGACTAATTGTGTTTTTCGTGAACATGGAGACCTAATGTGAAATTAGTGCAAACTTGAGGGACGAACACTATAATTTTCACAAATTTTTTTTATATCTTAGTATCTAATTTTGTATTTTGAGCTGTAACGGTATAAATATTAAATCAGACTGATAATTATATTTGAGTATCTAATACCGAAATGGTGAATTCAAATCACAATATACAATTTGTTAAAGTTTAAATTTTAGTACAAAAAAAATAAAAATTAAAAGATTGGTCTAGATTAATAAATAAGATATGCTAATGTTTGGTGTAGAGGTTGTTTTTAAAATTAAAAACAATGCAACTCATTGATTTATATTTTTTGTTCTTTCTTTATGTAATAATTTCATTGTCCAAATCAAGTTTTATTTGACCCGTAACGCTCCTACCATTTATGCCTAAACATTATTTGAATTTCGAAAAAGTTTATCAAATTCAAATTTGAAAAGGTCTCTCCATTATTTGAAGAAATAAATTTGTGTATTCAATTCCATGTTCGAGCTGTTTATGTTCTCAATTCATCGATCGAGCTCTTTCGAAACTCGACGAAGTCTCTCAAACTCTCACGTTTACTAAATATCGATTATAAAATCATCACTCTTGTTGGCAGTATAATTCATACGTAAGAATGATCTAGTTAGTAGAACAGCCGTTCATTCCATTTGAATTACCAATAAAATAATTTAAAACAAATAATTAGAATATTTCATAATTAGATAAATAATCTAAAAATAAATAAAACTCAAATTAGTTTTCATTTTTTCAAACTAAGAGCCTGTTTGGCTAAGCTTATAAGCTCCTAAAAGCATCTTATAAGATGTTTAGGAGCTTATAAGTTGTTAAAATGTGTTTGGTAAAAAAATTGCAAAAGATCTTACTTTTTCCAAAAATGAGCTGTTAGGGAGCTTATAAGATGTTTTTAAAAAAGTACCTCTACCTCACCTTTTTTCTTTAAGATCTTATTTGCTTCTTTACTAAAACACTTAAAATACAAAATTACCCTCAAATACTTTATTATATTACATGAATACTAATAATATTTATATTTTATCAAAACAACATATTCTTGTAATCAAGATTAATAATTAGTTAAATATAATTATCGTAATTATCATAATAATTGTAAAAAAAAATATTCTCTATTTATATTTTATATGTATATAAAAATACACGAATATTCTTATTATCTCCATAATAAATTATATTTCTTTCATCTATAAAAGAAAATTATATTTCTTTTACAACTTTTATTTTATATTATTATTATTATTATTTGAAAAAATAATTTGTAAATATTATAATAATATTTTAGGAACAAAAGTATTTGAGTCAAATAAGTTTAACAATTATACTGGCGTCGGCGTCATGTACTTTTTTGTCATTATAGCAATAAACAGACTTTTTATTTCCAAACACCTGAAGAACTTATAAAAACAAAAAGTAACTTATAAGCTGCATATCCAAACACCTTAAAAAATAATTTTTAAAATAAGATCTAACAGCTTATCAGCTCCTAAAACATCTTATCAGATGTAGGAACTTATAAGATGTTTTAAATAATCTTAGCCAAACGGGCTCTAAGCATCATCATAATTCATACCCATCTTCCCCAAGTTGGCCAACCATTAAATGAGTTTGCTCTGAGTATTAAATGCTGCAGCTAAGCAAACCCACCCACTTTTCTTCCCCTCAAATTCTCTCTCCTCTCTCCTCTCTCATTTTCCCCTTCATTCAAATGGCCATTTCCACCACCACCGCCTCCCTCCTCCTCTTCTCCCAATGTCCACCGCCCCACCACCGCCGCCGCTAGCTGCCGCCGCCGCCAAATCCTCATCGTTCTCGCAGAACCTCAATTCAATCGGCCTCGGCTACGCCATCGCGATCGCCCTAGGGTTCCTCGTCCTCTTCTCCACGATCCTCCTCGCCTCCTACATCTGCTGCCGCTCCGCCGCCTCCCGCCGCCGCCGCCGCGACAATCGGGACCGAAACCCTAACCACTCGAACGAGAACAGCATCTACCTTCCCCGGATAATTTTCGTCGCCGAGGACGACGATAACGATTCGCAAAACGCCGTCGTCGGGCTCGACGAGGCGGCCATCAATTCGTACCCTAAGTTCGTCTTCGGTAAGAGGAACGGAATCTCTGGCGGCGGCGGCGACGCCGTCTGCTCGATATGCCTGTGCGAGTACAGGGAATCGGAGATGCTGAGGATGCTGCCCGATTGCCGGCACTACTTTCACGTGATGTGCGTCGACGCGTGGCTGAAGCTCAACGCGTCGTGCCCGGTCTGCCGGAACTCGCCGCTCCCTACGCCGCTGTCGACGCCGCTGCAGGAGGTGGTGCCGCTCTCGCAGTACACAGATGGGCGGAGAAGACAGTGAGTAAGTAAAGGGGTTGATTTGGCCATTAGGGAGTTGTTTAGGGGTCGGAGTGCGATTCTCAGTAAAGGTAAGGGTGTAATTGTAAATTAATTTTAGGTTATTATTATTATTATTATTGTTTATTAGGGGTGGGTGCCATTAAAATTTTGATGTGATTGCCAAGCTTCAGGAAATTAGCTTATAAGTTATATTGTTTATGCATTTTTCAAATATTTAAAATTCATGAATGTTGATTGCTTAGAATTGATTGTGATATGGTTTTCAAAAGTTCATATGATTTGATGTTTGAACTGTGTCTGTGTGATGAAAATCATTGTTGATTTGGATCCAAGTCTACCAACTTTTTACAATGACCAACTTTTTTTTTTGATAATTAGCTTACTTGTATGATTTCATTATTATTAGCTTAATTTTAGGATAAATTACAAAAAACACCCCACCTGTATGTAATTACCAAAATCCCTCGACCATTTGTTTCCGTCTTACGCCGATACTTTTATGGTGTAATTTTACACCTAAATCTTTTTTATGCCAGTTAATATTTCTCTAAAAATGTCAATTTTACCCCTTCAAGCGTGACATTTTCTTATGCTACTTTTTAGAGATAAAAATACTCTCAAATGGATAATCGTGTACTAAAATGTATTAGTGTTATTTAAGAATACGTGAAGATATCCGTGCTAGAAGCTAAATTTTTGTTTTAAAAAGTAGTATAAAGAAATGCCATGTTTGTAGAGGTAGAAATCAACAATTTTTTTGGGAAATTATTACTAGGAATAAAAGAAATTCCGTAAAAAATCACACAGTAAGTGGGTCGGTGTAGGATGGAAACAACATTGGAGCCTTGGAGGGATTTTTGTTAATTACGGATAGATGGGGGTATTTTTGTAATTTAGTCTAAATTTAGGGGGGGGGGTTTGTAATTATACCCTTAATTTTAAAATAGACGTCACTGACATTTTACACATTGCACTGAAGTTTACTAGTGTATAATATATCCTCCTAATATAAAAATAAAATAAAATAAATACATACACTTATAAATATGCATGCATAGATACATGCATGTGTGTAATATACACATTGAAGGCTTCATGTTCATGTATATAGTTTAAATTCCACCAACCTAGTGTGCTTATTAATAAATTTCTCATTTAAATATATCTTGTTGGTTGTTGACAAGAATGGCAAGTTGATCAACCGGATCGAATTTGTACTTGATTGTGGTTCCAAAATTAGATCGAATTCGGATCCAATTGAATACGAACTGAATCGACGTGATCGGACTGGATCCGAACATGACGGAAAAAAACCCATTTCCATTATCCAACAATATGTTTTTTTTTGGTCTTTTTTTATGAGTGTAAATGAATCGAGTCGAGTTGAACGCATGTTTGTACGATTTTTTATCAAGTTTCAAAGTTGTATTTAAGCTTGTTTTGGTACAGCACTATGTTTGAGCTCAAACGAGTTCCAATTGATCTAAACACGAATCGAGCTACACTAGCTAGCTTGATTAATAATAATAATAAAAGAAAGTATATTTTATCATTTTTTTTTCTAATCAACGGGGTCGAGCTTCATAATACGTTATCAATTGATATGTTCAAGCTTGGTTAATTCGCTATGTTAACCAACCGAGCCTGAATCGAGTTAAGTAGTTTTGTTTGATTTTCGGCCCTAATCACGAAAAAGTGGATCGATATCTTCAATTTGAAGTCACTTCATACAAAAGCAACTTAATTATTTTGACCATATTCGCATCTTGTATTCTAACTAGCAACATGTGATCTTCACTTAGGGATTACAACTTCACATTTGTTTCCACAACCATTAACCAAATTTCCCAATTAAATAAATAAATAAAATAAATAAACCTAGTAAGATTGCTTACTAAATCATCCATCTTCCTAAACACATGAACCTTCACTTTCATTGACCTACAGTTTCTTTGTTAATCTTTCAGTTTCAAATCTCCCCTGCTCTTTTTTTTGTGTTTTTTTTTTGCTTTTTGTTTCGGGTTTCGGATTTCGGATTTCGGGTATATTTCAGAGATGGCAAAGGTGAATATCTTGAAAAAGTTAGGATCACTGGTTATGTTTGCTAGTACTGTGGCTATTCTTGTTTGCACTGCAGCCACCTTGTCCAAATCCTATTCTTTCCGACCCTTCCTACTTTCCGACACCTCATCGTGCAACTACGAAACCCTCTCGCCGAATCATCGTCATCGTACAAACCAAACACAGATCAAGAACACTGTCCAAATAGTCATCCACAAGATCCAACGACACCTTGATCACATGAAGGAAAATTCCCGGGACGAAGAATCCGAACACGCTTCTTTCCTCGCCGATATTTTAGGCCTCATCGGATCAGTCAACATCTCTCTCTCAGTCAACTCAGAACAAAACCTCCAAGGAACTCCCTCGAACCTTCTACAACCTTCCGAGTACTTCCTAACCGAAGAAATCCGAAAGTACGTCAAAACCAAACCCAACCGCCTCCAAAAACCGAATTTCATGGGCACAAACGGAACCTCCACAAGCATCGGACAAGCGTGCTTCTCCATGAGGAAGCTTCTGGAAGATTACATGGACTACGACGTGGGCGACATATGCGAAGATGATTGGAAGTTGGCACAACAATTAATGGTCAACGGGTGCGACCCTCTCCCTAGAAGGAGATGCTTCGCGCGGGCCCCACAATTCTACACCAAACCCCTCCCGGTAAACGAGTCCATGTGGGGCCCACTAAACGACAAAAACGTCCGTTGGAGCCAATACCGATGCAAGAACTTCACTTGCCTAGTCAGCAATGCCACCACTTCCAAAAAGGGCTTCTCCAAATGCACCGATTGCTTCGATCTCGCGGGCCACGAATACCCGAGATGGGTCGAACCCGTTTACCAAGATCCGAATTCGAACACCACTTCGGACTTTACGATAACCGAAGTTCTTGATTTGAAGCCAGGCGAGATTAGAATTGGATTGGACTTCAGTGTGGGGACGGGCACATTTGCCGCTAGAATGAAGGAGAAAAACGTGACTATAGTCTCGGTCGCGATAAATCTCGGCGCGCCTTTTAGTGAAGTGATCGCGCTTCGCGGGTTAATCCCGATTTATTTGACGATCAATCAGAGGCTTCCGTTTTTCGATAACACGTTGGATTTGATCCACACGACAAGGTTTCTCGACGGGTGGATCGACTTCGTGACGTTGGATTTCGTTTTGTACGATTGGGACAGGGTTTTGAGGCCGGGTGGGATATTGTGGGTGGACAGTTTCTTTTGTCTGAAAGAGGATTTGAGTGATTATTTGGACGTGTTTAAGATGTTGAGGTATAGGAAACATATGTGGGTTGTTGTACCCAAGTGGGACAAGAGTGATGATAGAGAGGTGTTCTTTTCTGCTGTGTTAGAGAAGCCCCCAAGGCCATTTTAATTATAAGGAAATTATTAATGAGTTTTGATTTGTATTATGTTGTTTTTTCTAATGTGTGTTTGTAGATTTTTCATATTTTTCTACTAGGATTTTGGTTTTTGTACTTAGTTAATAATCATGGCTTTATGTGATGTGATTAGCATATGTTAGGTTACAAATATGGGTATACCTGATTAGATGTTATACCTGATTATTTATATTGGGTGGATTTCGTACGTACATGTACACATAAAAACACATTAATTCATATATAAATGTGTTTAGTGAATGATTATTTAATTAGATCTACAATTGAAATTCACCGAATATAAATAATTAAGTGTAACATATAACTCCGGCAAATCGAGATTGGTTCTACTACTGAAAAGTATCTTAATAATGGATACTTTTGAGTAGCAAAGTGAAGATCCCTTGCCTTTTCCCAACCATATGCTCACAACTCATAAAGAAAAGTAAAAAAGTATGTGGGAGTATGGAAAAAGGATACGGTTAAGTTGAATGATTAGTTTAACGAAGAAACGGATCTATTTATGCCTATAATAATATACAATACCCTTGGATTACCTATATTTTTTTAAATTAAATTGGTTACATGTAGTGGTATTTTTTTTTAACGAAGGAACCCGTAACCAACCGTATAGGTGCACTGAGTAAATTTACACTCTCGTATAACAGCTTGCAAACTATACGAAATAAGTAAAAATAACCATAGGCTAACCATGTGTGACAAGCTCGACCTAACGATCGTTGGCAATTGGATTCGAACACATACTCACATAGTTGATCTAATATAAATTAGATCTTATAAGCTATTGTACGAGTTTTTTCTAGTATATTTCCGGTGATCACGGTTAGAATATTATCAAAAGAATCCACACATTTTGGTAACTTTAAGAAAAAAAAAAATCGTAACGAAGGGACCTATAACCAATCACTTTAGGCTAATCAAGTACCACACAAGCTCATTTGCTCCGACCGCTCGTTAAAATAAATTTTGGGTAATTTGAATTAGTAGGATGTGAGCAGATGATGCTCCACACGTGGTGGAACGAATAGTTTTATTTTTTGAAATAATAATTAAATTTGAAGATCAGTTTGTGATGCAGCCCAAATTAGAGTAATTGTGGCCCAAAAGGTTTGTGGGCCCCACGAATATTCAATAAAATAAAAAACCTATCTCAAAGCCCAGGAAAGTGACCGCCGTAAACCCCACCGTCACCGTTAGTTACGTTATTTAACTGACACGTGTACCTCAGTCGACAAAAGCGCTCTCCTAAAGCAGACACGGAGTCCTCAACCCTCCGTCAGTTTCTGCCGTCTCCGTCCAGTCGTAGCGGTTTCCATTTGACAAATTTAAACACACAAAAAAAAAAAATGAAATTCAAAATCCGCCGAGCCAAACTCCGAACCCCAGGTTCGGATATTTGATTCCTCTTCGTACATAAAACCCACACTCGTCCCTCACAGTTCACCCCACGCATTACTGCCTGTAGACTTAACCGAGAAGCTTTCGTGTATTTCAAGTCGTTGTCAAATTTTTTTTCTGCTTCAATTTCGAATTCGAATCGGCTGTGGGGATTAGCGATGGCGGAGCAAGAGGAGATTACGGATCCAGGACAGGAGTCGTTTGTTGATAAAATCACCGATAAGCTTCACGGCAGCAACGACGATTCGTCGTCGTCGTCTTCGTCTTCGGACTCGGACTCCGACGCTAAGAAGACGACGGCGGCGCCGCCGTCCCCTGTCAAGGAGGAGATTGGCCGTGAAAAGCCCGTTCACAAGGTTTTTGGCGGAGGCAAACGTAAGTATCACTTGCGCTCATACTTTGTACTTATTATAGTAATTTGTTTTATATATCTGGCAGTGCTTTCAATCTCAAATATGCACTGTTTGCGAGATGCACAAATTTGTTCATATAAATTAGTTCAATCAGAAATGAAGAACGCCGGATTACTAGAGTTTAATGTAATTTTGAGTTAATTATTTTAGTTTCTTCAGATGTGATGTATAGTTTTAGGGTTTGGAAATTTCCGATTTAAGAAGTTATTGCGTTAAAGGCATAAACAATCTAGATTTGTGAAGTGCGAGACTGGATATTGTGTTGTGATTAATGTTTGATAGTAATTTTTGGACCTTCACTTTTTGACTTACTTGACTTGGAGTTTGGAATCTTAGACTTAAGAAGCGATTTCTTAGGAACGCATAAACAATTCAAATTTGTGAAGTGCGAGTTTCGATAATTTTTTGTGATTTATATTTGATAGTAATTTTTGGACCTTCACTTTGACTTACTTGACTTGGAGTATTTTTTCTGTATCTGATAGTCCTTTTAATTTGAATATGTCGTGTTGGCGAGCTGTGTACTGCCGATTTTTTTACTGCAAAATAGTGGAAACAGAAATGTGGAACGGAGAATTCTTTAATACAATTTTATGTAATTCGAGTTGAACTTTGCAGATGTTGTTGTTTTTTAAATGGCATTAAACATTCCAGATTTGTGTTGTACGGAAATCGACAATTTATGGTGATTAATATTTTATAGTAATATTTGAAGCCTCAGTTTGGCTCACTGGATTTGGATTAATTTTTCTACATCTGCTAGTGTTTCCAATTTTAATGTCCTTTTGAAGAGCTGTGTACTGCTATTTTTATTGCAAAATAGTGAAAACAGAAATTAGAACACATAATACTACAAGTATTTGAATGTAATTTGAGTTAAATATGTTGATTCTTTGGAGTTGGCGTCTCTCTTTTAGAGTATGGACTTTCACATTTAAGAAGTCATTTGGTTAGGCATAAACAATTTAGATTTGTATTTATATATTTTATCAAGAAATTTGAGAATTTATGGTGATAAATATTTACAGCTGCTGATATATTCTTATGGAGGGACAAGAAAATATCTGGTGGAGTGCTTGGTGGAGTAACTGCTGTCTGGGTTCTTTTTGAATTGCTCGAGTATCATTTGCTTACTCTCGTTTGCCACATTGTGATCTTCACCCTTTCGATGTTGTTCTTGTGGTCCAATGTAACAATCTTTATCAACAAGTAAGTTAATATTATTTTTTTCTTGTTAACCCGTTTCTGGAAAATTGCCATTGAGTTACATGAACCTCATCTCTTGTCTGATTGCAGGAGACCTCCACCAATTCCAGTAGTTAGCCTTTCTGAAGAGCCATTTGTGGGCGTTGCTTTGGCCCTTCGTAATGAGATTAATCGCACTTGTGCTGTGTTGAGGGAAATTGCGTCTGGCAGGGATCTTAAGAAGTTCCTGGTGGTAAGATATATCAGACGTTGAAACTCTATTCTTTGCATATCTTCAACTTTTGAAATGATCTCGTTTTACTGTCTCATGTTTTACCTCCCCTTTTAAAGTTATTGAATAGCATACCTTGGAGTATTGGCTAACCCCCATAAAGTTTGGTATTTATAAACTAAAGTATTGAGCAACTATTTAGCTTGTGATTCATGTTGGTCTGTAAAATAGATCATTTGTTATTCACTACAGATGAGTAGCATTAGTGGAATATTAAATGATCTGGTTTTATAGTCTTAAGAACCAAGTAGATCATGTGTTTTTCACTACGGGCGAGTGATATTAGTGGAATTTGAATCTCCGTTTGTCACCTTATTGATTTAAATTAAATGTAGCAGAACATATCATGATAAAGCCTTATCTAGCCTTGGACGTCTCTTCGCGATATCTGCATATTGTTCCTTCCTAGTTTCTTGCCTGTGATATTCATGTTTAGTACGAATTTCTATTGCCTAATTTCTTGTACTTTCCTGTTTAGATATTTCTAGATTTCATTGATGCATCTGACTGGTTGCTGTCTGTTGCTTAGACGTTTAATATTTGACGTTGTAAGTTCCTATGTCATTTATCAGGTTGTCGCTGTCCTTTGGTTTTTCTCGATTGTGGGAAGCTGCTGCAACTTCTTGACATTGTTTTACCTAGGTAATAACAAATTAAATTCTTGGCCTATGTACCCCGGAACAATTAAGTATTATTTACAAGTATTTTGTTCTATTACCAGTGTTTGTTTTACTGCACACGGTGCCTGTCTTGTATGAGAAGTACAACGAGAAGATAGATGCATTTACTGAGAAAGCAACGGTTGAGATCAAGAAGCAGTATGCAGTGTTTGATGCAAAATTCCTGTGCAAGATCCCAAAGGGGCCATTTGACAAGAAGCGGGCTTAGATATATATGCCAAGCAAGCAACTTGGTGGCAACTGGCTTTGTTTTCCGTATGTTCGTTCGATGCTTTCTTACTTCCTATGTGTAGTTTCTCGTTAAAAGATTATGGTTTTGGTTTTATTGTAGATCATGTATGTGTTTTATACCTTGCCAACTCCATGATTTTGCTTTTTAGATAGTGTGATGTAAATGAACTGTGGGTTTGCAAATCTTTCTGTTTAACTTGTTGCGGTTTATTCTGCGGTTATCTTGCTAGCTTTGTTATTTGTGTGACTCTAATGTTTATGCAAAAAAGATGCTTGCTGGTTAACGATACCAGTTGAGTCCCAGTCCCTTAATTTCAAGTTTTGGTGCATATAAATTTACCCGGAAACTCGGTCCATATGAAAAGTTGCAAGTATTGGCCTCATAAAATACAATTCGTTGCAGCTTTTGCATTACGAAAAATATGCAATTCTGGAAACAGAGTACAAAGCCATCAAAACATAGGAGGGAAAGAGTGAGAAGGGGCCATTGAAAAAACATATGGTGTCTAGGTATAAAACTTGGAACGTCCACATACATTTCAAGCATATGTAATACTTTAACAACCTATCATCGATCTTCTAACTTCAAATAGTTTCAACTAAAACGCTGGGGTTGATTGGGGAAGTTGCTATATAGATCCCACTGTTTGCTATATTCTTAATTCCTTTAAAATCAACAAATGGGAAAAAGAATTGAAAGAACACAAGGCATGCCGGAAAATTATGTACCAATAAATTTTTTTGTATTTACAGTCAAAGTTGGACAAACGATCAATATCTTGGAAGCAGCCGTGAGATTTGGGAATTGCTTTCTGAAGAGGTGAGAGGAACAGTTGAAAATTCGGATTCAGAATGTTCGCGTTGAAAGAAGTTGCCACGAGAGTACGAGGGTGCTTGGTTCTGGTTGGGGTAAGGGCTTGGTCTTGAGCTATCTAACGGAGCAGCTGAGGTGGGCCCTCTATAATCCGATGAAGGGGGACTCGGCACTGAAGCGCTTTCAGGGTTGGGAGCATCTGCCGACTCCCTCTTTTCTCTTTCGGTCTCCTTGAGAAGAAAGTCCACCCATAGATCTGTAAACGACTGCAAAACAAAAGTGATCCAACAATAGTTTAGGGAACAATGTTAAGATGGATAGCCATCAATTAGTCACATGAAAAAGATCTGAAATGCGTCTACAATTTTTCTGTGATTTCAGCAACGTGTGCGATTTTTTGTGATTTCGCTTACATGTTCAAAAATTAGTGAAACAATTTTTCGATGAACTATTTCTTGACTACTTATGAATAAAAATCTTCTATGTTATATATTTGAGTATTAAAAAATATTAAGAAAATATTTGCAAATTTCGGTGATATTTCGCATACGATTTTTTGTGATTTTGCTTAAATGTTCAAAATTAGTGAAACAATTTTTAGATGAACTATTTCTGGAAAACTTATGAATCAAAATCTTCTGTGCTATATATTTGAGTGTTACAAAATATTTGAAAATTTCAGCAATATTTACCAAAAAACGTGTGCTATGGCATAGGATTTTTGTGATTTTCCTTAAATTTTCAAAATTAGTGAAACAAATTTTAGATGAACTATTTCTTGAAAACTTATGAATAAAAATCTTTTGTGCTATATATTTGAGAGTTAAAAAATATTAAAAGAATATTTGAAAATTTAGCGATATTTACCAAAAAACGTGTGCTATGGCATAGGATTTTTGTGATTTTCCTTAAATTTTCAAAATTAGTGAAACAAATTTTAGATGAACTATTTCTTGAAAACTTATGAATAAAAAATCTTTTGTGCTATATATTTGAGAGTTAAAAAATATTAAAAGAATATTTGAAAATTTAGCGATATTTACCAAAAAACGTGTGCTATAATAGCATAGGATTTTTTGTGATTTTGCTTAAATGTTCAGAATTAGTGAAACAATACTTAGATGAACTATTTCTTGAAAACTTATGAATAAAAATCTTATGTGCTATATATTTGAGAATTCAAAAATATAATTAAAAATATTTGAAAATTTCAGCAATATTTACCAAAAAAAACGTGTGCTATATATATAGCATAGGATTTTTTGTGATTTTGCTTAAATTTTCAGAATTAGTGAAACAATACTTAGATGAACTATTTCTTGAAAACTTACGAATAAAAATCTTATGAGCTATATATTTGAGTGTTGAAAAATATTAAAAAAATATTTGAAAATTTCAGCGATATTTACCAAAAAACGTGTGCTATAGCATAGGATTTTTTTTTGTGATTTTGCTTAAATGTTCAAAATTAGTGAAACAATTTTTAGATGAACTATTTCTTGAAAACTTATGAATTAAAATCTCCTCTGCTATATATTTGAGTGCTAAAAACTATTAAAAAAATATTTGAAAATTTAGAGATATTTACCAAAAAAACGTGTGCTATATATATAGCATAGGATTTTTTGTGATTTTGCTTAAATGTTCAAACTTAGTGAAATAACTTTTAGATGAACTATTTCTTGAAAACTTATGAATAAAAATCTCCTGTGCTGCTATATATTTGAGTGTTAAAAACTATTAAAAAAATATTTGAAAATTTAGCGATATTTACCAAAAAACGTGTGCTAGCTATATAGCATAGGATTTTTTTGTGATTTTGCTTAAATGTTCAAAATTAGTGAAACAATTTTTAGATGAACTATTTCTTGAAAACTTATGAATAAAAATCTCCTGTGCTATATATATTTGAGTGCTACAAAAATATTTGAAAATTGCAGGAATATTTACCAAAAAAACGTGTGCCTATATAGCATAGGATTTTTTGTGATTTTGCTTAAATGTTCAAAATTAGTGAAACAATTTTTAGATGAACTATTTCTTGAAAACTTATGAATAAAAATCTTCTGTGCTATATATTTGAGAGTTAAAAAATATTTGAAAATTTCAGCGATATTTACCAAAAAAACGTGTGCTCTATGCATACGATTTTCCGTGATTTTGCTTAGATGTTAAAAAATTAGTGAAAAATTTTTAGATGAACTATTTTTGACTGCTTGTGGATAAAAAACCTTCAATGCTATATATTTGAGTGTTAAAAAATATAAAAAAAAAAAATATTTGAAAATTTCAGCGATATTTACCAAAAAAACGTGTGCAATGTTAAAAAAATAATGAAACACTTTTTAGATGAACTATTTCTTGAAGACTACTTGTGAATAAAAATTTTCTATGCTATATATTTGGGTATTAAAAAATTATTTGAAAATCAGCGATTTTAAGCAAAAAAACATGTGTTATATTATATAGCATACAGTTTTTTGTAATTTTGCTTAAATATTCAAAACTTAGTGAAACAATTTTTAGATGAACTATGTCTTGACTACTTATGAATAAAAATCTTCTAGATTATATATTTGATTGTTAGAAGTAGTAATTTTTTTGTGCGGAACATTTCAGCTATTTTTAGCAAAAAAGTGTGCTAGTATATGATTTTCTATTATTTTGTGTTAAAAAATTAGTGAAGCAATTTTTAAATGAATTATCTACTAACTACTTATGAATAACATCTTAATCTCGGTTTGGGTGATTGTGTATTCGACCTACCCGAGTCCAATTATAAAATTGGGTTGTCATAAGATTGCCTAATCTTAATTGTGGCGACTCATATTTGCTAAACCTTATGTTGGGAACCAAACAAGGCCTAAGTAAATAAAAGAAAATTACTGAAATATGCATCAATAGGAGAGAGAATACCTGGTCATCAGATGCCATAGTTGTCGTATGAGCTTCAGCTGAACCGCTGCCCAAGAAACCCCCAACTAGTCGACCTGGAAGACCCAAAACACCTCTAACTACACCTTTGCCGCCTCCTTGCTGAGCAATACCTATTCTTTGTTTGTCTTCATCGGAAAATCCCAGCATGCGAGCCATTAGATCGAGAACCTGAAATATTTAATTAATCGTTATGTAAGATTGTAAATAAGGACAAATATTGTAGACAATCATAAGTTATAATATTCCCTTTTAATCAATAAAGCTCAGGCTTCTATGAAGGTGAGATTCTATGGAGCACATGTACCTCTTTGCTGTGGTTTCTCTGGAAATATGTCGCCAGTAATTTGATCACAATGCGCCTGCAAATGGAACAATTCATCATATTCAATATATATATATATATATATATATATATATATATATATATATATATATATATATATATATATATATATATATATGCCTACAATACTAGAGTCAATGGTCTAGGGTCCCTCCCCTACTTTTCTAATTGTTGAATTATTCGGGGGAAAAGAGAAGGGAAAAAGAAAGGTTGGCAGTTGTCTAACCTGTCAACAAGAAAGTCAGAGTCCACTGACATACGATTTAACCTTGTCATGCTTTGCTCAAGAGCTCGTCGCAGTTTTTCATTGTCTTCCTCGAGCTTCTTAACTCTATTTTTTCCATCAACAAGCATTCTTTCAGCTTGTGATAGCTTTGCTAGAATTTCATCCTTTTCCTTCTTTGTTGCTTCTGCTTGTTCATGTGCTTCCTGGATACATATACAGCAGAGGATAATAAATTTTAGAAAAATGTGGATGCAAACTGTAGATCCTAAAGAACTATGTCTCCTAATCGCCAGGGACCATTCAACAGTTCGGTAATAACCTAAGTTAAACCATACCAAGATGGTCAATCGAAGAATTTATACCTTCAACTGCTTCGTAAGTCTAGCCGATTCTTCTTTTGAGACTGACAACTCCTCACCAAGTCGTTCCTGAAATGAAATATTCAAATAAACTAAACCAACTATACTTCCTCTTTCCCATCTCATATTTTTTCGACCATTACAAAAGATTTTACCTTAGCTTCAATTTCGGCATAATACTGGCCAAGCGCAGTTTGCAGGTTTCGAATTTCCATGTTCTTGGCGTCTATTGTGCTCGCATAGCTACTCAATTTTCTATTGAGCTCATCTATAATTTCTTTAGCCTTCTTGAGTTCATTACTGTTGGACATTTTTATTTCTTCTTGACTTCCAACTGCCTGTTTAAGACTTTTCTCTAAGCGTGATATTTGAACTCGTTGGTGTTCATTGATTTCTCGTAATTCCTCAATGATCTTGCTGTCCTCGTCCATTTTCTCCGATTCTTCGGATTCCTGTGAATAAGGCAGGTAGGAAATTCTGATTTAGCAGACTAGTTTTGGAAATGAAGATATGTTGACACCATAATAACCAAAAATAAATAAAAAATCACCGTTGGAGTCTGATGATATCATAAAGAAGAAAGTGAAGGCACATGTAGAGACCTTTTGCAACAAATGCTGCTTGAGACGATTCAATTGCTGCAATGCTTTATCCCTTTCTTGGCATGCTTCCTTCAAATCTTTCTCCAGCTTAAGCAAAGCCTGATGCGTTTCCTCCTTTTCTGGCAGTGCCTGCAGAGACTCTACCTTTTAGATTAAAGTGCATAAATATAAGAGTCTAATAAGCAGACGACCAATGCAACAAACGAGGAAAATAGCTTCAATTTTTTTTTTTCTGTGAATGCAAAAGAAAACGATGAAAAGAACACGCAGAGGGCTAAAGGAATAAAGCAGATCTTCGTCAAACATTGAATAACTCAGAACCTACCTCATTCATGGTACTTGAATGGTTAATTGAAGGATCTACATCACCAGGTATGTCTTTGCGAACTGGATAAGAATGAATTGCTTTTAAGGCAGCCTCAAATTCATCTTTTTCTTTCTACCATGAAAAAATGGTAAGGTGTCTGTATGAATGTATAATGAATGTGTACATATACACAGACCAAAAAAAATAAAGATCCCAGCAAAGGAGTGCTGGAGTAACACAGACATTAACATGCTCCTTTCAAAATCTATACAAACTATGGTAAGACACTGACCTTGATATTTCTATTTTCATCCTCCAAGTTGGCAATTACTCTTTGCAATTTATCCACACTGTCATCTGTTTCTTGTATATCTTTATTCTGCAACTCCAGTTGCAATCTTCCTATTTCTGCTATCTTCTGATTTAGCTGGTCACGTATTTGGTGCATCTCTCTCAAAATCTGGAAATCAGAAAATTCAAAATAGTGAAAGTGAATCCATTTAGTATGCTGTATGCCACAAAAGGCATAGATAAAGCCAAAACAGTTTCAGACGGTATTTTTCAAATCGAGGCAAATATGCTATGTTGTCATCGAACACGAACAAAAACAACCAAAAGGATTCACCTTATTGTTGTCATCTTTTAATGAGCTCAAATCCTGTTGAAGCGATCCATTCAACTTCTGTTCCTCTAAAAATAGAATAAATATCAACCTTATTACCCAGAGGAGCATAGCACTGAATCATCTTCAAAGAATAGATGTATACCTTGGAATCTCATCTGCATGCTTGTTGATTTGGTGCGTTCTTTATCAAGTTCAACCATCACCTGTTTCATTTGAGCTTCATGAGTTTCTCGCAACAACATGAGGGACCTATTTTTGTCCTCCATTGGATCTGAGAGTTCCTATAAGACATTAAGAAAGCTGTCATCAAGTTCAGTCATTGTGGAAGACAAAATGAAGAACTACTACGGAGTTTATAATGTGATATATGTTGAGACAAGAGAAGAATAATTTCACAGAAAAAATCAATATGCATACATAAATTTAGAATACAACTCCTTAAACTTGTAAAGAACAGTTTCCTTACCTTTGCATTGGTTGAAGTGATTCCGTTGCTTAATCCATCATGCTTGGGTGAAATACCATTGGTTAGTGGGCCTCCAGCACTACGAATTTTTGTTGCAGATTTACTGTAGCGATTAGGGGAAATATCGCCACTGCCCTGATAAAACCACAAGTATCTTAGTAAAATGTACGAACCTCATCTGTCAACACCAGTCTCTCTATTTCTAAAAAACCCACCAATCTCTCTAATCATGAAGACCTACCTTAGGAACCGTTTTAGATGCACTAAGAGCAGCATTTGTAGTAAGAAGATTCTGTTTCAGTGATCCATTTTCCTCATTCAACCTCAAAATTTGATCCTGTGACAAAATCATAAAATAAAAAACTGCATAAGGGGGCCAGTCAGTGACATACCATGAGTTAGTTTTCAAGTAAAAGAGACCAAATCATTTATTGTATCGCCACAATCACAGAAGGGACATCATGGTATGAGTGCTAAGAAGAATCCAATTGACACCCCTTGCTCGTGAAGGGCAAAAAGATCGGTTCTCAACAAGAGGAACAACTATGTTAGGTAAGGCAATGGGCTTAAGAAACTTCTCCCAGAACACATAACTAGCAAATAAAATCATGCTTTTAGTGGAGAATATGATATTTGGTTACACACTATAACAGCACATTACCCTTAAACAACTTAACTCACTGCATTACTCAGCTAGACTTGAGAGAGACGGTTGAGAGTAGTAGTCACATCTAAAGACTAGAAGTATATTATTACATAAATGCAACAACAAAATTGCAGTTCTTTTGTGTTGCTACTGAACATCAACTTCTAAGAGTATCTAAACATAATTTTGCCTCAATCTTACCAAGACAATTTGTTGCATCTAGATTTTTTATCTTGTTTCTTTCTTCTTTCCCTTTAAATAAATAGAGGAAAAAAACTAAACGTCAAGATTAACAGGATTCGGATGCTAAATGAAAGATGACGGCATCTACTAACGAAAAATAAGTAAATAATGCAGCTTCAAGTCATAGAAAGTGAGATGTCCCGCGCACATCAGCAGTATCCAACATCATCTACAGTTTGGTACAACTAACTACTTTTGACCATGTATAACCAGCAAACACTTGACAGCAATGATAACATGTAAAATCAGAATGCGACATAGAGAAGCAATTTTTTTTTTGTTTTACTTGTTTAGGGAAACAAATAGATCGGGTGATGGAAATACGGATCAGGAAAATGATGTACCTCTTTTTCCTTCAATAAAGCTGCATAATTAACTGATAGTGCTTTTATTTCCGCCTCAGATTCCTGAAGTCTCTTAATCTCTGTTTCGTATTGTTCCATCTGCAAAACAAAAGAAATATTATGACACACAGTTGTAAACTAAGTAAAACTAGAAGAGGTAGTAAACAATAATCTACCATACATCATTTGATTCAAGATCGTTCAACATTTTTCTTGCAATTTATTTATAACCATCCATCCGAAACACACTATTCAGAGTAAACTAACATGCTTTGTTTACCCAAATAACCGACAGTTAATCAAGATAGCCATCTTCAGACACAAATACATGAATGGTTTATCACAAGACATTGTTAAGCCAGAATATTCATCTGCCTTCCCGGCAAATTCTCGAACATCGCACAAACCACCGCCAATAACCTAAATCCATAAATGCAACTTCCCAACCCCCATCAACACCAGTGAAAAAAAAAACCTCAATAAAACCTAATCGATTCGCAATTAAATCCTGTCAATTTCTGATTGACGAAGTTATGAACGAATTTAGATGTTAAAATATCATGCAAGTTCATCTCCTCTCAATTAAACACAAAAACTATAACCAGACAGGGAAAACGAAAAATTAAAAAAATAAACAGTAAGATCAAATCAATTAAACAAAAATAAGTCATATTATACCTCATGATTAGAAGGGGAATCAAAGCCATTGACGACTGGCGAATGCGTCGGCGTATTCGTACGACTAAAACTTCGAGAAATTCTCCGCTCAGAAACTGAATTCCCGTTGTTCAATCGATCGCGCGGCGGAGGAGTATACATTGACAGCTCTTCATCGTCGTCGTCATCATCGTAGACATCGAGTGCGATTTTACTCAGACTCTCCTTCAAATTAGCTACCGAATTCCACATCGGCATAGCGATTTACGCGCCAAAAAATATATATTCTCTTCTAATTTCCTTTTCCTCCGAAGAAAGAAATTGAAACGTGAATTGTTGTAGAGAGGAGGTATTGAAGAGAATGAAATTGAATAGTGAATTTCGTTTTGGGGGTTTAATGCTTTGGTAGATCTGGGAGAGAAGGGGGGAATAAAAACATGATTTTATTACCTGGAAATCACGAAATTTGTCGGATGATTTAATTTTTATTTTTATGTAATAATAAATAAATAGTTAGAGAAGTGGGCGTGTTTCTTTCTTGTGTAAGCTATTATTTGGCTACCAGTTGTATAGGCCTAGTAATTAATGGGCCGATGTCTACCTTCTAGTCCATCTACTTTCTCATATATCTATATATTATATTTCAAATATATTTTAATTCCCTTATTTTCATGTCATAACAAAGGGTAAATTAGGGCCGTCCATGAGATAAGATCAAATTACGGAAAAAAAATTCTCATATTTAGGTAATTACAATTTACAACAACCCTACATCTATGAATCTTCTTAACACGTACACCTTAATAGTGTCAAATTCAACATAATCTTCTAGATTTTGTAGAATGTTCTCTAATTTGTACTCGTTTTGTGCAAAATTGCAGTTCCAAAAGCACCAAAATCTGATATTTACAAGATAAAAAGACACATTTTATGATCATCTTGTTTCAAATGTGGAGTTCGAATTAAGTCAAACGGGTACAAACTGAAGAATATTCCACATAATTTATAAGATTCTACTAAATTTGACTCTGCATGAGTGGACATATAAGAACATTCATAGTTAAGGGGATGGTTGTAATTATCAAAACATGAGAATTTTTTTGTAATTTGACTTTACCTCAGGGGTGGCCGTAATTTATCCTAAAATAAAACGGAATTAAGTTAAATTTCAAAAGGACAAAATATAAAATGAGGTTTTGTAGATACTACACCTGGTGAAATACACCATGTGGTATTTACACCATTAATCTACACATAAAAACATATACTCATGTGTATATGTGCTTAGTGGATAGTTATTTATGTACATCCACGGTTTAAAACCACATAGGGTATTTCACTAGGTGTAGAATCTCGTAAGCCATTAAAGCCAGTAGTTGCCCTTTTAATTTCAATAGTACCCCTCGCACAAATTAGAACGGCGCTATTCGAAATCCCCAATTTCCGCTTTCCCTAAAAGTTCGACACAAAATTTCACTAAACTGAACTTAACCTCCTCCTATATTCACAATCAAGAAGACATTGAAGAGTCTCTTATAAGTTTATACAGCAAGTCTAGTGATACGAAAAACAACTTATATACAAGAACAAATATCTGTAGGCAAATGATCAAATATTACATCATTCTCATTTGCAGATTTAATACCATTTCGTAACCCGTTTTGGCGTGAAAATTCCACTTCTGATATTTGCTGGGTTTTTTCTATTTCAATAAATCTTGCCGTTTCCCATTTTCTCCACTCCACGTCATTTCTTCGGACGAAATTAACCAAGACCAAGATATAAAGTCCAATGTCTGCACTTGTGAGTAGTGCAATGCAACTCATTTAGGTTTCACCAAATAGGATGCCCATATTTCATCTGCAGGGGGTGGCGGTTGCACCCAGTGCCCTGGTATACGGCTGCATCCAAGTTCCGTCAATTAAAAAAAATGAGACGAAGATTAATTTTTAAATACGATCATATATAAATAATAAACATTAGAAAATTTGTGAACTGGTTAATTTCATCAGGATTTCTTCGGAAACTAAATTTGTTAGATTAGATTGGTCTCACAAACCTTCCTCCAGGTCTTAGATATGCGTCCCACATTCTTCGTACCTGCAATAAAGGTCAAAGTTACACGAGCGATTATAAGTAAGGAAAAGCGGAAAAAAAAATACGTCGGATTAAATATTCTTAAATACCTCAATGAGTGTGCCCATATCAGTATTACTGCCATGATAATAATGGTAAAATTCCATGGGTAAATTAGAGACAGAATCGTAAGCACTGCCACTTGTGTCAATTTTTCTTGATTCTTTAGTGGCAGCCAATTTCGAATCTTTTTCATTTGCAGTCTCGTTTTTCTGGTCTTGATTTTTAATATGTTCGAAATTACTCAGGCCCAGTTCTTCTGAGCCTGGTACATGGCTATCGACGTGTTTTCTTGATTCCTCAGCATTAGCAATAGCATCTTTAGCGGCATCTGTATCAGCTGCAGCCATTGATTGACGTTCCTCTTCTTCAACTGCAGCTCTAACTTGTTCGAGAAACTTGTCATCCTCTTCTGGAAAGAAATGACCTGCATATTGTAATATCAATAAGTTATATAAGTTGTTTTCTCCTTTCTCTTATAATACCGAGTAATTGCAAATTTAATGGCTCTGTTCCTTTTCTAATTATACTAAAAGGTGGATTAAATCTATGGCATGGATATCGATTTTTGAACCTTGTTTTTTCAATTTCTCTATTCTGATGGAGCGTAATTCCTGCAGCTTTTCGACGATTAAAACCAGCTCGAGCTGAAAATGCGAGATTTTTACGGTTATGACTTAGAAGCTTCAGACAGAAAATAAAATAAGGAAGAAAAGAAAAGAAATTATAAACAAAAAGTCGTGATTCGGATAAGCTCTCACCTCAGATTCCAGCCGTTTCTTTTCTTCTTTTGCCTTAACCTTGGCTATTTCCTTCATCTTGTCTACCTGCAAAATCATAATGCCTCTTTATTATACGAAAGTAAAAACCAGATTAAGACAGTAAAAAAGAAAGTATGCCTCGACAATTTCAGTATGTCAACAAACCCTAGGGATATGTTCTTATATGCAGAACATTGTATACATGCATAAAATGACCAAGAGATTCAAAAAATACAAAAATAAAGTACTCCGCCCAATATAGAGCAAATGAAACGTAAACTAGAATGAAACGAAATTAACTAATTTGAAATCCATAATAAACAAGTGGATGATACTTATGCAAAATCATCTACTTATCTGACTATAGGAATCATCTCATTTGACTCCATAGTTTCTCTAATACAGACCAAAGTCATGTAACGAGAAATCTTAAGCTCACTCATACCATAAAAATCTAACGTTTTCACTGTTTTCGTGAAATCAAGAGTGTAAAGCTGGTTTACAAAAAGTTAAGCTCGTAAGTTTTGTGTCCGACTCAGTTTAGAAATCATCCCTCTTCCACACCATTATTAGGATACGGTATGCTTTTTATAGCCCATAAATAGCTCCCAATTTTACCAACATTCCATAATAGCACCGACGCTCTTTAGGCAAGCCACATGGCATGCCCACAGTTCGTTCTAGAAGCTCCTTCCACATAACATAAATTACATAGTAAAGACAATGTTTGTACCTTGCGTTGTGCAGCATCTTTGGCCATCTCCCTTGCCCTCCACTCATCAGCTTCTTTATCCAATCGATCAAATTGCTCGCGCTCCTGAAAATAATAAAAATAAACAGCAAATCACAAATCTAAATATACAGACGAAAGATTCAACTAAGGCACAAATCTTGAAAACGTTCTAAATACGTGATTGCTACCTTTGCTAAATTCTGAGCTATTCGCCTTCTCTTCCTTCTTCGCCAAAGCTTATTTCGTTTATACTTTTCCATTTTATCAGCTAACCGTTTTACAGCAGATTTTTCCTCCCACGGGCTATTCTCATCCGTGACAACCCTGTACGGCTCCAGCTGATATCTTAGTTTCGACATTACGGCATTTGCAGCATTCAACGATAGAGATTCTTGAAAGTCGAGTTCGATTTTATTTTCCTTCATAAACTTAGAGAACCTATCAATTGATATGTCAGCATCCCCAATGTGGCCTTCGGTAGTTCTTTCGCTTTCTTTCATCCGAGTTAACATCTCCAGTTCTTTTTGCCTGTTCAGTTCGACTTGATTAAAACCAATAAACAAAGCAACTCAGAATATATATAAAAAATAAATAAAACATAAAATTGAGCAAAATTGTATATCAGATTGAGCTTAATTCAAGTATCTAAGAATTAATCGTATAAAACATAAAGCTAATCGTTCGATTAGGAACAGAAAATTCGCCTTTGTGGTTCCGAAAATCAAATCAAACTGAATTAAATTCCAAACTCGACAAACAGCTAAACCAAATCAAATTACCAGTTTCTTCTATCCAACCAAAATTCAAAAAAAAAAAAAAAAAAAAACAGCATATCAAATTTAAATTACACGTTCTAGGTTACTGCTTCGAATTCATGCGTCGAGTTAAAAGTTTGTAAAATGCCCTTACATTGCTTTGGCGAGGTTTATCGTATCGTGAAGTTCTTTGAGGTGGCTGCTCACATTTGATCCAGTCCAGAAGGAGGAATGTGGAGGTGGCAACAGCGGCCACGGCGGCGGTGCCCAATGCCTAGGGCCCGGATTAAACAGAGCCCGACCCATTTGATTCATATGGTTCATTTGATTAACCGGAAAATGAAAACTAATCGACTCCGGAAACTAGTAAACAGAAGCACCAGTAAAAAATAATCCCAAATATTACAAATGATTTCAGCCCTCGATGTTTATGAATGAAGGGTAAGAATGACAAATCATCGGACAATTTTTAATAAATGCTGCAAATTTCCTACAATATTATAGGACTCTCGTATATGATTGTAAATGAGTCGAGCCGGTTAGTGAACTCGTTGAGCCAGCTCGACAAGAGCTCGAGATCAAACTCAAATTGTTTGAGCCGACGAACTCGAGTTCGAGTTCATCCTTAGCACAAGTTCGCGAGCCGGCTCGCTAGCTGTTTTCTATTTTTTATTTATATTTTCCTAATATAAATATAACTATAATATAATAATAAAATATATAATAGTAATTCAACAATACATACGTATAAAAAAAATCAACTTAAGTTTTATTTTTAGTTCTATAACTTATTTTATTAAGTAATTTATAATAAAAAAATAATTTTAATACTATGTAAAAATTGAAAAATTTAAAAAAAAAAATACTTGAGTTTCATTTAAGTGGAATTCTTGGATCGGCCCACTTAGGTCGAAACTAAACTTTGGGTCTATCCATTAAATCTAAATGCATTATAATAGCTTCGTTGAGCCACTTACACTAGTTGACTTGGTTTGGACCCATTAAATATATGTGAGTGTATATACAATTGTGTATTAATATTTGATTTTTTTATTTTTAAAAGACGAAAGATTTGAAACTACTGAACCTAAAGTCTACTGACCATGTATAACCAGCAAACACTTGACAGCAATGATAACATGTAAAATCAGAATACGACAGAGAGAAGCAATTTTTTTTTTTTTTGTTTTACTTGTCCAGGGAAACAAATAGATCGGGTGATAGAAATACGGATCAGGAAAATGATGTACCTCTTTTTCCTTCAATAAAGCTGCATAATTAACTGATAGTGCTTTTATTTCCGCCTCAGATTCCTGAAGTCTCTTAATCTCTATCTCGTATTGTTCCATCTGCAAAACAAAATAAATATTCTGACGCACAGTTGTAAACTAAGTAAAACTAGAAGAGGTAGTAAACAATAATCTACCATACATCATTTGATTCAAGATCGTTCAACATTTTTCTTGCAATTTATTTATAACCATCCATCCGAAACACACTATCCAGAATAAACTAACATGCTCTTTTTTACCCAAATAACCGACAGTTAATCCAGTTAGCCATCTTCAGACACAAATACATGAATGGTTTATCACAAGACACTGTTAAGCCAGAATATTCATCTGCCTTCCCGGCAAATTCTCGAACATCGCACAAACCACCACCAATAACCTAAATCCATAAATGCAACTTCCCAACCCCCATCAACACCAGTGAAAAAAAAAACCTCAATAAAACCTAATCGATTCGCAATTAAATCCTGTCAATTTCTGATTGACGAAGTTATGAACGAATTTAGATGTTAAAATATCATGCAAGTTCATCTCCTCTCAATTAAACACAAAAACTATAACCAGGCAGGGAAAACGAAAAATTAAAGAAATAAACAGTAAGATCAAATCAATTAAACAAAAATAAGTCATAATATACCTCATGATTAGAAGGGGAATCAAAGCCATTGACGACTGGCGAATGCGTCGGCGTATTCGTACGACTAAAACTTCGAGAAATTCTCCGCTCAGAAACTGAATTCCCGTTGTTCAATCGATCGCGCGGCGGAGGAGTATACATTGACAGCTCTTCATCGTCTTCGTCATCGTAGACATCGAGTGCGATTTTACTCAGACTCTCCTTTAGCTACCGAATTCCACATCGGCATAGCGATTTACCTTCAAGAACACACTTCTCAGCCCCGACGAAATCTGCAAGTCGCAAACCAAATCAATTATTTACCCTGCAGTTTCAATTCATCATTTTCCAAAAAAAAAAAAAAAAAAAAAAAAAAGAAGAGAAATTGCAAATGAAGAAACAAGTAGTCTTGAATCTCTAGGATTCATACCGATTTGAACATGGAGTTTTCACATCAAAAAGAAAACCCTTTGGAGGCCTTCGACGAAGTCAGATCTTAAATTTCAGATGGTATTAACGCAATTAAAAAAAAAGTGAGTCGTCCTTCTAGCTTATGCCGGCACCGTAGCTGGTATCTCAGTTGGTTGGCGGTGCCGGAGGATAAGATTCGGCTGGTTTTGTCGCCGCCTCGGGAGGTGGGAAGAGACGGTGGTGAAAGAACGGAGACGGCGGTCCCTGTTAAGCTGGGTTGGTGAAGAAGAAGGAATATAATTAAGAAATTTTAAATTTTGCAATTTGATACAATTTTTTTGATTATTTCTATTTAAAATATATGTTTATTGAAAAACAAATTTCAGAGGACATTTGAGGTTTTTCAAGTGTAAAAAACAATAACTAGCTGCACTGATCGCGCGTGCATCATACGATTTGGAGATAAGGGGGCCGGTGGCTTAGACTTTGTGACATAGGGGGTAAATGCTAATTGTTTTAACATAGTTTCTGGTAATTAGAGGTTTCACAGGGGTAGCGCTTGCTAAAAGCTCAATAAAAACATGATTTTCTTACCTGGAAATCACGAAATTTGTCGGATGATATATATTTTTTATTTTTTATATAATAAATAAATAGTTAGAGAAGTGGGCTACCAGTTGTATAGGGTTAGAATATAAGTCCCAGTAATTAATGGGCCGATATCTACATGACACTAAAAGGCGAAATCTCTCGCCTCCAGGCCCCATTCCTTGGTCCGACAAGGATATTTCTAGTCCATCTAGTTTCTCACATACCTTCATTCTATATTTTTAAAATATTTTAATTCCCTTATTCATGTTAGAATAAAACGCAATTAAGGTCAATTTCATAACTGAAATGATTTGTGCAGGCATAAATTAAACATTCAGGCACATTTTTTACCATTTCTCAAAAACCAAAAGGTAAAAAACTCAAAAAACTCTCTCAACCCTCTCGATTTTCTTTCGCAAAGCCCGTGCAAATCGTCAACAGATCGGAGGTAATTTTTACGTTTTTACGATCCTCTTGTTATGTAGATTACGAATCCGAAAAAAAAAAACGAAAAAAATCGAGCTTAGCAACACTCGGTGTGAATTTAACACGAGCGGAGCCACGCTCGACTTTTTTCGTCTCTCTATTCGGAATCATAATCGACATAACAAGAGGATCGTAAAAACGTAAAAATTACCTCCGATCTGTTGACGATTTGCACGGGCTTTGCGAA